GGTGACAGAAGGTCCAAGAGAGATCTCTAAGCCAGCATCCTTGGAATTCCTAATTGCATGCTCCCTACACCAGTAAGTTACTTGCACAGGGTAACTGCATGGATCCACCTTCTGCTTTATATCTAGAACCAGGCCTAGTGACAACTCTGGGCGTCACCTAGAACCCACCGAACTCCTGAGGGGTGGTGGGTCAGAAGGATTTTGTCTGGGCAGGGGCCAAACACATGACAGTCCCATCGCTGAGATGTGACTCCCTCCAAGATAAGCTCTTTTCTTGAGCAGCAGTTAGCACTCTGACTTCTCTCTTAAAAACTTTAAAAATTAAAACAAAACTGAATGTATACAATCAATGTCCAAAATTCTGGCACTCTGGTAAAAAATGCCCTGCATTTCCTTATCCCTATCAGCAGGCTCTTGAATCTCAGCTGCCCTCTGTTGACCCCGTCACCCCTTTTCCCCACCGTCCAGTCTCTCTGCTCCTGGTTCTTCATCTCTTCCCACGACACTCCTAGCCCACTTCACTATTCCCTCAGTGGGCTTGCCCCTTGCATCTCTCCCTTATGGTTGTGCCAAGGGAGACTTCTCTCTCTTGGCACACCTCTATCACTCCAACTTCACAGCATTCCTTAAATCAGTAAGTATCAACAACCCCCATGGCTCCCCACGGTCCTCAGGGAAACCTCACTCTTCCATGAGATCATCATGAGATGAGATCCTGGTAAACTCTTCCAGTGGCATTTCCCATCATGCCTCCAAGTAAATGGTGTTCTTCATGGTCCCCCAAACACCCCTGTTTCTCAGTGGAAACTGTGCCTTCCTCTTTGCTCAGAGGGTCCCTCTCCACAAGGCTTTCTTTAATTCCCCAACCCTTCGAATTAATCATCCGCTTACTAAGCAGTCTTTGCATTGCTCTGTTAAATGTCTACAGCAGAGCCCCACCCACCCCCAGCTGAGGATAATCTACTGGAAATTTTGTGTTCTCCCCAAATGTAGCCAAAGATAACAGAAAAGTTTAGTGTTCCTCAAGAACAGAGATTCTGCTTATAACTCTTTGTGCCTGACATCTACTGAAGAGTCCAGAACACAGTGGATTCTCAATGAAAAGTTTACTGGACTGAATTAAGTCATCATTTCTGTGTTTTTAGAGTTCAAATCTACCATACATGGAATCTTAAACTTTTCCTCTAACAAGTTTTGTTATAAAAATTAAAATAAAATTAAAGTCTACACAAAAAAGGGAGTGATCTGGCTTACAAACAAGCACTTTGAGAAGCACTGCAGTTCACAGAAGTATAACGTTGACCTTTGGAACTTAGTCTAACAGACTTTGGTAGTTAGGATGACTCATCCATAACTGTGGCATGAGAATGGCCACTCTCTTCTAGAGTCTGTTACTTCGGAGGAATATGACAGAACTGGCTACAAAGCCTAGACAATATGGGCTTTACATGGGGCACATGATCTTTCCTGTAAAGGTTGGGAGGAACAGCTGAGAGGCAGCCATCCCCTTTTCTTTCTGCCTTATAAAGCAGCGTGGTTTTTCAAACCTTATTCACCAGAATAGCCAAACAGGCCATTGCTAAGGATGAAAGTGTGAGCTTCAATTAAAACAGCCTTTATTCTTTTATATGTTGAAGGCTTCAAGTAAAATTTCAATCTGAAACATGAGTTTTGCTGCTTAAAAAAAGTCTGGAAAATCACTGGACTAAAAAAATTCTACCACACCCTTCCCCAGGAAATGAAGAGAGGCTTATAGGCAAGAGGGTGCACATGAAAGCCACACCTGGCAGTGGCCCCAGGTGCAAGCAAACCATTTATTCAAATTCCAAGGGAGGCCAGGGGAATGGAGTTTGGCTTCAGTCTTTACAGGAGGGCCGCAGGCCTTTGTCCTCCCCAGAGTACAGAAATCCGCGGGCTTCTGAGCATGTAGACAGAGATAGCGAAGAGGCTGACTGAGGCAGGAACTGCAAGGACAGGTCCTGAGATGCTCAGTCACCAGCCATCATCTCTGGGAAGCCTTGATACATCTTCTCAGGCTAAGCACAGTGTTTACTGTAAGTTTGGATACTTCCTGTCACCCTCAATGCCAGCCCAGAAGCTACCCTTGTTGGCTGGGATGACTTCAGCTTTCTGTAGCAAGTTTATCTCATTAGTTAGTGTGGGAGGCCAAGACGACGACGTGGCTACCAGCCTGACCCCACGATGACCTCAGAGAGGATGCTCATCTCTGCCTCCCATGGAAGTGTGTTAGACTCCAGAGCTAAACAGGCAAGTATAGATGGAGCGGTGAGACCTACATCTCCTAGAAGGCCAACAGACCTGAGCCCATTTCCTGGCGATGGCTGGCTAGGAAGGTTGATGAGGGTGCCTTTAACACAAACTGCCATGGGGAGGTCAAGACAGTGACATCTCTGCAGGCCGGTGACAGCCTTATTTTCTTCAAATGTCCTAATGCCCTCAGAGTGGTAAGAGAGCAGTTCTGCAGCTAGGACCACATCACCCCTAGTTATGACAATCACCACAGTGTCAATCCTAAATTAAGTCCACATTGTGAGCAAGAGCTCGAAGTTAAATATTCATCTTCTATAATGTGGGTGCTGAGGACAGGCTGGTAGCAAGGGCTGCCTAATTAATTCTAAGGGACAGGAGCGATGATAGGGTATCTACAGTGTGTATACCCTGGCATGAAGCCTTCTGCTTGAAAACATTCTCCCATCTCTACTAGATAACACTATACCTGAAAGAGCATTGGTTTAGGATTCAGAAAGATCTGAGTTCAAAATCTGACTTTGACTCTTATTAGGCGTGGTAGCTTTTGGCAAGTCAATTAAGCTTCTGGAACCCTGGTTTCCTAAATATTGTTCCTCAACAATGAGGCTTTTTGTAGGGTGGGTACATGAGAGAACACATGAGAGGTTCTGCGTCACCCTGACTCCTACCTTTCAGTTCCCGAACAGCAGCAGCACATTCTCCATGCAGCCTGTCCCTGGGATTCCCTCCACGTTTTACTTTGGCTCTTTCTGCTAACACTTATCCAACAGTGCCCTAATTTCACATTCCCATTTGCATGGCCAGCTCTGTGAATAGGGGGTTGGCTGTTAACTGCCCACCGTGATGAGCGCCATGCCTGGAACACGCAATTGGTATTAGCTGATGGGAAGAACAAAGGCCTCCATTTTTCCAAGAATAATGTGATGGGGAGGAAGGAAAGAAACTACAAGAAGATGGAGGTGGTTCTTGGAGCTGAAATGCTGAGCCAGTTGCTGCCCAACTGCCTCTGCTTCCGCCTCTTCCTTGTGTCTGCCCCAAAGGAGAGTGGGCCAGGGTTGCAAGTGGGGGGAAGTCTTTTTTTCTCTTTAAAAGAACAAACACAAATAGGACTCCGTGTGTGTGTGTGTGTGTGTGTGTGTGTGTGTGTGTGTGTGTGATGTATAAAGTAAAGGTAACACTGTTTCCGTTGAGGAAGATTCTTAAAATCACCAAGTGAGAAAAAGAGCGCACCCCATGGGGATCCCTCCTGAACAGGAGAGCTTCATTCATTACTTATAGGGTTTTTGGTTTAGGGCGGTGTGCCCTGGAGAGTCCACAGGAACCACACAGACAGTGTAGAAAGAGAGCAATTTATAACATCACAGATGGAAACACAAAATTGATGTCTGTAAACTTCTTGTACACCATTAATCTGTTAGCTCAGAGAAACTAGAAACAGTCAGAATTTGAGCAAATACTGCGGGAGTTACATCCACATAGAGAGGAAAGCACCTTTGGTTAAAAAGCAGGATCTAAGAGGTTATCTTAGCCTTTCAACTGCTCAGCCAGTGCAGCTAAAAGCCAGCCACCATCAGCCACACGTGCCAGCGAGCCAGCATGCTGCCCACTGCAGAGGGCACACCAAATGCTTCTCCCTACTAACTTAGTGCTACTCCACAGCCAGACTCGTTTGCGTAAAAAAAAGTTGGAGGGCTTTGGGAAGGGTCCCAGTGTTACCCTCTCAGGGCTGTGACACTGCACTTTATTCTGCAGGATTACAATAAAAACACAAATTTACCTAAGGTATTGGAAAAAGCAGGACAGAACAAAAAAATGGCATATGGAAAAGACAATAATGTGAGTTACAAATTCATTTTTATCATAAAGTAAAACTCATTCACATAAACTATAATCTATGCATTTTTAAAACAGGGTATTATGGGGCAGGGGGGAAGCCGTGTATACTTTACTGCAAACTTCGGAAGATAGAACCTGAAATTTAAAATACTGTCCATGCCTCCATTTTCACTATGAAATATATTTTAAGAGATGGGAAACTGAGGCACATGTAAAAACATTTTAAAGTAAACTTAATTATAAGTGGAATTGCAAACATGGATTTGATCAGAGGCTTTTCCATCTTTAAGATCTTTTTTTAAGGCCTCACCTCAAATTTGTTTTTTAACTTAGAAAACAATATTAAGTTAAGTACAGTGGAAGAAATCTGGCAGAAAATACACTCTGTGTTAGAAGAACACAAGAAAAACTACATCAATAGGGTGTGTTTTTCATGAGTATTTTTGAAAATACATCAAAATCCCAAATTAATTTTTAAATATTTTATTAAAAGTAATTTTGTGATCACCACTTTGGAAATGATTCTTGTTCATAATTTCTACACCAACTTTGTGTTTCTGGATTTTTTTCCTTTCCTAACCCAGGGCTGCTTGGTGGATATTTGAAGGTTAAAAAAAAAAAAAAATCATGTTTCTGTGCTGAAAAGTTATCAAGACCAGCTCTCTGCTGCATTTGCATTGTTATTAGGGACACACACGCGCGCGCACACACACTGGGCTTACTGTGAGGCTAGTACAGAAACAGAGAGATTAGACACAAAGAAATGTAAACAGCTCTCACATGCGAGGAAACTAGGTTACGAGAATCCCAGCACCAGGCATTCACCAGTCACCATGGAAAACAGGAAGTGAGATGCATAGCAACCACAAGCCAAAAAGCAGGAAAGCGCATACCTTTAGCTTGGAATGAAAATCACGAGATTTCCTTCTGGCAAGAACCTGAATGTGACTAGACACCTGCAGGGTAGGGGAAGGGAGGAAAACAAAGGAAAAGCCTGTAACCATGGAGATGAAAAGCCCCCTACAACTGGGCAAGCCAGACGTACCTTAATGGCGGCTTGAATTTCTCGAACTTTCTTTCTTGCTAAGACCTGTATATGACTAGACACCTACATTGTTCGGGTTTATGAGGGGAAACAAAACAAAACAAAACAAAACAAAAAAAGGAAATCAAATATAAAATTGCTACTCCTTAGGAGGGTTTTGGGGTGGGGTGGGGTGGGAGGGGAGGTTATTTGCATCGCAACAAAGCTCTGCAGTTAGGAATACACAGTCCCAGCCAGACACCAAGCCCCCAGCGCTGCTCTCAGCTTTTCAGACTGGGTCATCACTGCAGTGACTTGATTCAGGAGGAAAGTTGAGGCTAATCTAGTTTTTTCTCACCCGGGAGCAATCACGGGCATGGGATGAGAGGGGGAGAGTGGGGTTGTTTTCTTTATAAAATTAAAAAGGTGGGGGTAGAGGTAAATGAAAATATTTATAGCTTCTCAGTATCAGGAGGGAAAATCCCTTTTTCTCAATTTAGAAGAGACGATCCATAAATTAGCACATTCTGCAGAATCAAAAAGCTGAAGCTATCAGTTGTATTCTGATCTCATTAAGAGCTCTGGATTCTGTAGCAAATGTTAAAATAATACTGACATGTAAATTAGATCTCAAAGTGAAATGGAAAGACCCAGTTAGCAGAGCATTTTCCCCCTTATAAATATCTTTAATCCTTCCACTCTTTTGGGTATTGACTGGGCGCCAAGTGGATTTGCATATTACTACAAAGCGCAAAGTGTGAATACAGCCAGCCAGCCATCCTGTTAAAAATCTGGGTTGAAAACCACACGGATTTGCTGAACAACAAATTCACATTGGAGAGGTATCACCAACTGCTGCCTAAAAACATCCCAGGATGCCGGGGTGTGGAAACCAAGCCAAGCCTGGCTTCTGAAACACAATGATTCCACTGGGTAAACAAATTTGCATCTCTTTCCACAGGACTTGGTTAAATTTAGAAGAGTCCCCCAGTGAAGGGGTTGGCCACATGAGCAGAGCTCACAAACCAGCAGACAGCCCAAGTCCAGCTTGTTTAGTATGTTGGGAATTAGATCTTGTCTGTTTCAGAAATTTAGAAAATTCCACGTAAAAGCTCAGCAACTCAGACTGAGACAATTAATTCATTTCAAACACTCTAGCAACTCTAAAAAACCAGATTTATGATAATAAAAGACCCCTTTAACTTTGTCTTTGAGTTTAAATTATTTTTTTCCAATTTGAACTTTTTTCTTTCTTTTTTTTTTAAGTATAGAGAGGCAGGGACTCCCCCATCCTCTTCACTCCTCTGTCCGGCTCCTGCTTTTACTTGTTTCCACCCGAATTTTGTTCTTTTGTGTTTTTTGGACTTAATGAGGACCACCGTCCAGTCCACTGTCGGGGGAACATCCACCAAACAGACAATGTCCTGCGTCTGAGCACTGGCAGGAGGCCACTTCCTTCTGTGCTGACTCAGCAGCCAGGCTCCGGCTGGGGCACATGTAGCATTCCTGGGGAAGGGCTCTACCCCGTCACAAACACTCATGAAAACAACTCACCACTGAGCAGAGGACTGCAATCTGCTGCTCAGGCTTAATGAGACCGCAGTTGAACTTGTCTTTTGCTTTGATTATAGTTTTTAAAATCCACAGATTCATCAGCATAGGTCAACATTTTTTAAAAAATTATTTTTTTCTGTTAACAACTCACCAATGAGATTTGTTTAATTTTTTTCCCCTTCCCCTTTCTTTTTGTTTTTCATTAAACAGGAATTTCTCATCCATTCCAGTTCTGAACTGGGTCAGAAATTTGGGCTGCTTTACATCCAAAAGCAGGAGAGCCAGAGCCCTGACAAAGGGCACAGGAAAATTCCTGACACTGCTCTGCACAAAGGTATTTAAGTTGTAACTTCATTTCAGTCACAGCAGCTACTGACAAAAAGCCATAGCTTAAGGAGCAACAGTTCCCTGGACGCACATCATTCAATATCGTAGTCAGGCCAATACTCACGGCTGCTAGTGTTACTTTTTCATTGAAATGATGACTAATGTGTAATTGTTCCAGGATTTTATAATACACAGAAATGTCAAACTTTCATGACTTGCAAGTATATTTGCACCTGCGGCATTTGTAGTGTTTGCAGATGCACAGTTTGGGAAAGAAATAAAACTTCTGAAATACAGGATAGGAGCAGTTTATACACTGTCCTTTGTAAAACTTTCCCATATACATAAGAATAATTCAGGAGACCACATAGTCAAGGGTCACTGAAATGATGAACAGTGAAAACTGAGCCAATTCAAAACACCAATTTAAACATCACTGACGTCCTTACAGGGAACTAAAATTGGGGGCTCCTAGGAGCCAAAGCACAGACAGCCACTGCAGCCAAAATGCCTCCTTGGGCCATTCGCTGACATGCACAATTTCCAGGTAGGTTATTTTACCTGTTTTCTGGTCCTCGTCTTCCCTGTCCTGAGTTTGATGTATCTGGCTATCAATTCATTCCTACCTGCAAGAAAGAAGAATTTACAATAAGGTGGATTACAAAAAAAAAAAAAAAATCCTCTAAGAGGTAAGAAAAGAATTAAGAATCCTTTGCAGCTCTAAGTTTATTAATGCTAGGAAAATAACAGCACAGTTGTTTGTGAAAATGCTTACTAGGGAAAATAAGATGAGGAACATTAATTATGAACTACGATCAGCAACTGAGGATAGAAATGCGCTTTTTAAAATGTGCCTTCTTGTTTCTTTGCGTGCTTGCACCTAAATGGGCGGTCACTTGTATAAGCAACACATACAAGGATTAGTGTGGGAGTCTGCAAACCCGTTCTGTTCCAGGCTTATTTTTCATATCCATTCCTCCTCACCCAGGCTTCTACTCAGAGTTACCTCCAGTTAGAGACATTATAGCCACAGGAGAATGAACTGCTGTGGCCACAGAAACGCTACAATGATAGGAAGTTAACAGTATGAAAGCAGACCCCCCTAAAAGTAGTCACTGCACTAGCAACTACACACAAGATTGTGTCTGTGAAAAACAGTGATTCAACTCCTCAAAGCTTTATAACCTTTGGGGGAAGAAAATGCTTAAAAGTATAAACAAGTACCTTCCATCTATACCCCACCAGGAGACTGAGGAGTTTCAAACAGATAACCTGACTTTGAAGATGTGTAATAAAATGGGAAAGTATAGCCCCAAAACTAAGTGGGGAAATGTAATACTACTGTACATGAATGAAACCCCACTCTTATAAGACATAGGTCCAAACTGTAACTATAATCCTAACTATATAGCTAGTTGTGTAATTTGTGCTTGCTGTTTTACTTCCCAGACATACTGCATATCTGAAGAAAGCAAGAACTCTGTCTTACTCCCTGAAGCTCCCTACCGACCCCCGCCCCAGGCACACAGCACACTGCTGGGCACAGAATAAATGAGGGAATAACACAGCCTCTGCTGAAAGACAGTGACCATATCCACCAGATCTCCTGGCACAGAATAAGGAACTGGCAGCGCTAACGAAGACCAATGTGGGCATATCTTCATGGGAATTTTGTCTGAGAATTCTAAATACTGTCCCATCATGGACATGGGTGGCCAACTTCTTGGCATCCCTGGGCCACAGTGGAAGAAAAAGGGCTGTTTTGGGCCACACATTAAATACACAAACACTAACGAAAATTGATGAGCAAAAAAAAAAAAAAAATGTTTTAAGTAAATTTACGATCTTGTGTTGGGCCGCCTTCATAGCCATCCTGGGCCGCAAGTGGCCCGCAGGCTGCGGGTTAGACACCCCTGGTAGAACATCCTTGTAATCGTGGCTTTGTCCACCACCTACTTGCGTTAGGACTGTGCAATATGCATGGTCACCACTAGAAGACAAAGGAATCGTGGATGCTTGGGGCTGGAGAGTAACTCTGGGTCATCATTCCCACCCTCAAAAGTTGAAGTCCTTATTAGCCTAAGCCAGCACTTTGAGAATTCAGGAAGCAATCCACTTTACTTTGAAACATTCAAGAATTAAAAGACCCTCCTTATCTGTGGCTTCTTGTAACTTTCATCTTCAGATTCTTCTTGTTCCTCTTAACAAGAAATAAGGCTAGTCACTTATGCGGCGACTGACTTTCAGATATTGACAATGGCTTTTAGGTCTTCTTGGAGTTGTGACCTGGCCAAACCTCCCCGTTCCTTTGTTATCTGTGACAAGCTTTGGAACACTCCCCCATACATCCTGTGACCATCCTTTGTCTATTACTGGTTCACAGCCTGAAGGGCAGAACTGTAGTGCTGCTCCTACTAGAGTGGGTCTACCACCTCACTTATCCTAAACACTCCACTTGTGTTAATGCAGTACTGAGTTTAATTTGGGGGGACCACAAGAAACTGTCAACTTACATCAAATTTCAATTCCTAAGTTCTTTTCACATGGGCTACCACTCAGATATAGCCCTACACCCATGCCTGGTCTCTTTATGCATAATTAGAACTTTTCTGGTCCCAAAACAGAACCTTACATGTATTTCTATTGCCATTTCATCCTGTTAGATTAAGTCCGTCTTTCCAGCTTCTCAGGATATCCTGATTCTATGACTGAACTTACCCTTTAACCACACAAAAAGGACCTTGATATTCAGTTCTGAGAATTGCTTTTCTAAGGATTCTCTTTCAAACTTTTGAGAACTACCAATATCTGCTGTAGTGTCATCGGGTCTACTTCATCTCTCAGATGGTTGTACAGATTTTGCAATTTGTCTCAAAGGCTCACGGGCAGCAGAACCCAGCTAGGAGTACCTAATTACCAGCAGCCAGACTGAAATGACAATGTCTGCAGATGAGCCGAGCATCTTCTGGCTCGGGGCCTCACTGTGCACCCTGTTCAGCGTGGTGTGAGTGGCCAGGACAAAATAAACCCAGGACTCTGTATCACATGCAATTTCATCTGAACCTTGTCCAGGTGGCAAAAACGTCTCCTGTCCCATACTTGCTTTTTTTCTGTGAAAGCTGACATTACTGCTTATGTGCGATATAGCATCTGCATAACTAACTTTCAATTTCTTAGGGTATTTGTCTGAATGGATGAGGTCAATATCCAAGACAGGCACATTTGACTGACTATATACCCTGAAGTCTATGCAAATAGCATACATACCTTAGAGTTAAACAATACCAATGTACCCGTTGTTTACAGTACTTCTAAAAATTGGTACTTCTACAACAGACCCTCACTGGGTATCAACTCTGTGCAGAGCACTATGCTGCCCTCATCATTCCACTGAAAGCTTATCAGAACTCTCTTGTCATTGTGCTTCTCAAGATCACATTTCAAAATCCTGTGTCCCTTCTTTCATACCATGTTTCAAGCCATAAAGAGTAATTAACTTGAGGTTTTTATGTGTTCCTTCTTGTCTCCATGAGGAATACTGTTGATTCAATTTTCAAATTCAAATTCAGCCAGCGCTAAGCATCTACTATGATCTAAGCAGTGTCATTCACTTTATTTCATGTCAATTTTTTAATGACCATGGGTGGCGTTATGCACAGAAAAACACTATTTGGATTTACCTGGCTTATAAAACTGTATATTTCATTTGTTTAGTTATTTTTTTTAAAAACTCAAATACCTACTTCACCCTTAAGTTTTAAGTTCAATTCACATATCTATAATTTTTACAGTCACTTTCAAAGGTCCATTCAAATAATGTTTGGCCCATTTTAAAAACCTAAACTCCCTTAAACATTGAAAACTATGTATTTAATTTAGAATGTACTCAATTCTTTTAAATATTAAAGCTATTTGATCTAACTTATAAAATATTTCCTTAAACAACTCTTGGGAACCTAATAAATTATCTTAAATGCTCTAATATTGCTTACAGATCTAGTAAGACTTCAATCTTCCCCCAAATCAAGTCTAAATCAATTACCCCATGGCACATTTTAATTCAGAAATACACACTAACCTTTTGTATGAGCCAAAATATTTTAAATAATTGTCTGAAATATCAAATATACATAAATCCTTTAAATAAAAACATTAATACTATAGCTTTGACTTTATTAATATCTTCTGTTTTCATTTCTAAATCTTTTCAGAATTAAAATATGCTTCCCTATTAGGAAAACAAGTATGCCATTCCAATAGATTGTGGAATATCTTTTTGGCTACTTGTGATTACACATATTTTGTGGAAATCAACTAGGTTCTGAATGGAGATTCTTGTCAGTGATCTTGACAGGACATCCTGAAACCTATGAGACCATTTATATTTTATAGAATGGCCCTCTAAACAGTGTGGGCCCATATAGTCCAGAGTTCTGGATTTGCATCGTGGTACTAAGATACAGAACTCCCTTAACAAGGACCGGGAGCTCATCAACCATCATTAATGTCACTGGTAGTAGGCCTCTGGTCCATACAGCACGGTCTTTTTTTGCAGCCATGATTAAGATGTTGGGTTATTGGAAATGCTACCCCTCATTTCTCTCTCTTTTCCAACACACACACACACACACACACACACACACACACACACACACACACACACGAATGGTGGTGTTTCATCCAGTAAACCTTACATTACAAAAATGATTTTCAACAAAGTTACCTTTAGTTAATCACGATATTCATAAATGAATCTTATAGTCATGTGGAGACAATCTGCTTTGTGCCTTATGATGCCTGTTTGAGGCATTGGGGATATAAAGAGAGGATTCTGTGGTTTGCCAACAATGAGTTCACTGTCCAATACAGGGGTTGAGATATAAGAGCAAATCAGTTCTACATGCCCAATGACGACTAATGCCATGATAGAGGTTCTGGTAAAGTGCAGGGGTTTTCGGCCATAAATAATTCAGGGAATCTAGAAACATCATAAGCTGGGCCTTTAAGGATAGATTATATTTTATTATGACAAATTTCAGACATACATAAAAGTCTTTTACAGAGGAATTTTACAGTGATTATTATATACCCACCACCTAGATTCTACCACTTTTTCTATACCTGCTTTATCATATATCTTTCCCATCTCTCCATTCCTCTATCCCTTTTACCAAGCCACCTTATTTTATCATTGTTTTGTTCCAAAATAAGTGGCAGGCATAATAACACTTCCCTCTAAATACCTTAGTGTGCATATCACTAACTAGAGCAACAAGACTGTTTTTGACAGGCAGAAGAGAAGGGGTTAGGTAAAGACCATTTTAGACAGAGGAAGAGGCATTTCTTTAAATAAATTTCCCAGGCAGGAAACTGGGACTCTTAAATAACACATACACCCCCCCACACACACACATGCACACACACCCCTGCTGACCTTCAAGCTCCCCAAACCACTGCACATTCTTTCTTTCTGAGCCCAGGAGTATCCAGGTTGTACACTCACAGCATTCACAGCATTCATGACTCATCTCCTGTATTCTTCTACACAATCCTGGTAGTAGCTTCTAGAGCTGAGCAGCAATGTCACACTTCACCACTCAGTGTCATTATACTACTGGTTCTCTGT